GCTCCATAAAACTCTCAGAAAAACAAAAGACCTATGCCCAGCTATCGGACGTATATATACTGTAACTTTTCTTTTTTACTTATTTTATTATAAATAGACAAAAACTAAGCGTAACGTTTTGAGGATTTAAAGTGTTTATAACTCCGTATTTATACAAGATTAGGAAACACAATCAAATTTCAGGTCAACGAAAAGTTGGTTTTGGAATCATTAATTTCGGACAGGCATGCGCTTCGCAAAACGCGTTAAGCCGGTGATCCGCTTTACTGCTATTAAATTACATAGCCGTTTTAAGAGACTCCGGATTTGTATTATGGTGTACGTTAACGAGAAGTACGTAATTAGAGCATTATCATATAAAATTTTCAGGAAATCTACATAACGTCTAATTGTCAGGTTAATTATAGTTATAAAGAATAAATATCAGATACATTTCCTAGAAATTATTCCTAATAACATTTAGTAATGTATTGATTTTATACACAAATTTATATTTAGGCGATACGTTGCATAAAATAATAATTTTACTCGCCTTTAATTTTGACAAATTTTTAGTGCCCGACTTGTTTGTGCTCTACAGCACCTATAGTACTGGGTCTAAGTTTTAAAACATTATTTGTTAATGTGTACATACATATTTTTATATGTACACATACATATTAAGATAAACAAAAATTCCCTCAAAACTTTAACAATTAAATATAATTTAAAATTTAACATGATTAAATTCGTAAAATTAGTTAATTCGTATCATAAATATTAAAATCAAAAAAAAATTCACGATTGCACTTACACCTAAATTACCAAGGGAATAAAATCACAATTTTTACTAAGTTTTTAAGTCAAGCATATAGTTAAATGTTGACCGACTATGTTATGTGATTAGTTGGCTGGCTATGTTTAGTTCTTGCTTCCTCTTATATTTTGCAAGTACTTGTTTTCTTTCATAGTCGTTCAACTTTATTATAATTGATATTTTTGTTAAATACCCGTGCGAGTCAAGGATACGTGCAATACATCACCAAAGGGCCAGAAACAATAGCCCTTAATACTCAATTTTCACGCTGCTGCTTCAAATTTATTTTGATTTTCCTACTACCAAACTATCTCTAACCTTTGACGATTTAAAAGTCTTTAAAAAATTGGTACTGCGACTATCTTGTTTTCCGCCATTTTGATTTTCTTACACCATTGCCAGAATTTGACCGGGGTGTAGGTCGATATTAGTTAAGACACGACCCCGCTTATGCTTACCGTTTAGCCGGTCAATCTCCTCGATGAGCTGACGTCATTTCGATCGTGTTCTTTTCAGCGAACAAAGGGTTCATCCTGTTATCATCATTTTAATCCATATGTTCATTTGATATCCATATCGTGGGGGTGAATAAAAAACATAGTCCGGTATCTTTGGGGTTCTGCCATATTGGATTTAGAGTGACTTCACTTTATTTTTCGATTTTTTCTCAGCAAACCTTTTCATATATTACCCATATTATGGGATAGTATAAAAAATAACTAGTCCGCCATCTTGATCGGTCCACTAGGTATATTGGATTTAGAATGATGTCACTTAACTAGGCGTACTTTTAAAATTCGAACTTTTAAAAAATTTAAATTCATATCACATTCAATCATATATTTTAATGATGCTATGCGTGCTTTTTAACTTTTTTAGCTTAAGTCGAAAACTGTTTGATGACTGTATTTTTACTTAAAATCTTTGTTATAACTTTTCTATTTGTTTTATGTATGTAGAATATTCAATCAAAACTATTTGATAACCTTCTTTTATTATTTTATTTTATTTTTATGAAAAAATTAAATAAATATATAAAATACGTTTTTATTTTATAATTTTTTATGGCTTAAATTCATGGAGAAAGATAGACTCTTCATGATGAACTCTTATTTCCAGTCATGTTCCAATAGTTCTACAACAAATGGTAAAATTAAAAGTTTTGTACAAATGTACTTAAATAAGCATAATTAAGGATAACTCAAAACTTCAGATCTTGATTAAATTTATATAGCACCACATGAGAAGCACCAGCTTTTAAAAAAAAGAATGGTCAAAATCCGTTTTCGTTCACCTACAAAAAAATCTGAGGTAACACACATAATAAATACAGTAAAATTGAGAACCTTCTCCTTTTTTGAAGTCGGTTAAAACTTGATTGTGACGACCGAACGGCAACGCAACGGTTCAGTGATATCTCTGTGATCGCGAGGATGAAAACTGTAACCAATAAACGAATGATAAAAGGCACACTGAACCTTAATGTTAAGTTAAAGACGTCACATTCAATGAAGTCAACGCTCCATCCCTCTCGTACCTTGATCCAAAACTCGAAAACTTTTAGCATTTTCAGTGCCTAGAAGATTGCAACACAGTTGACAATATGAGTAAAAAGCTCGTGGAAACTGAGCAGAGCCCAGGTGTTGTTTTCGAGAGTTGTTATGAATCAAACTTCGACTCGACGACTTCCAGCCTCCTGAACATGCTGATTTCCGAGCATTCATTCATTCGTCATCATTTCGAGCACGGCTTCCGGCAAGTACTTGTAATACGGCAATTTCCGGTCCACGAGACCGTATTTCAGAGCGAGCTCCTGGTGAATAATTCTGGCTACTAGGTTGTACCTGTGCAAGTACTCAGAGTTAGAAAGCGCCGAACAACCGGAGATGACATGCCTAAGTGATTCGCCGGGATGGCGACAAGCTCAACAGATGTCGACGGTGCCATCCTTTAGGATATATCTCCGATAGTTGTTGGTCTTAATAACCTGATCCTGTATTGCACAGACAAAACCCTCGGTTTCCCCGAAGAGGTCACCGAAACGTAGCTAGTTGAGGGAGGCTACTGTGTCTACGAAAGGCTCATGTAGAGCCTTGTAGAACCTCCCGTGGAGCTCCTTCTCCTTCCATACGGTCTCCCGGTCGGAAATGCTCTGCACTGCTGCTGAGTCTTGCCATTGCTCGTTGGCTAAGGATAGAGGGGTAAGTCCTTTATCACAAAAAATGACGTCCTTATAGAATGGATCATCCGATCTCACCAGGAAGTAATTACGGAGGCTGCACTCTTCGCGATTATGCAAGGTGAGCGCGCTCAAATAGCCACGCCCACCATGCTTTCGCGGCAAGTACAGCCTCATTACCGACGATCTCGGATGATGCATTCTATGGGACGTTATAGTAGTGCGGACTTTTCTGTCCAGGGCGTTAAGTTCAGTCTGAGTCCACCTGAGTATGCCAAAGGTATACATGAGGACAGGCATGACCCAACCGTTATATGCGTGTGTCTTATTCACACACACCAGACAAAAGGCTGTTGAGCACTTTGGTCAATAGTGCATAAAACACGTCGCAAACTCACTGTTGCATACCAGCCTCATCGATACCGGTGTTCTGTGACACACCCAGGTATCGGTATGTTTCAGCCTCGGAAAGGGTCCTTAAACTGATGGGCATAGATAAGTCTATGCCCTCAGAGTTAGCAACCCTTCCCCCTTTCAACATGGAGGACCGCACAATTATCCGTCCCCAGCTCTATTCCATTTGCTAAATTCACAAGTGATGTTTAGCAATTCCACAGGATGGGAGTGACTGGAGGCGAATAACTTGAGGTCATCCATATAAAAAAGGTGGGTCACTTTTGAACCTCCTTTCCGCAGCTGAAAATATCTCCCGGAGACCTCCAGTAAAGTACTGAGAGGGTTCAAAGAGAGTCAGAACCAGATTGGACTCAGACAATCGCCCTGGAAGATACCCCTTCTTATCCTTTCATTAGTTTTATGTTTCATGAACTCGCGTATCGTATAAAAACACTTATCCACCAGCCACTTCTTAACTTAATTTTAAAATATTTAAATGGAAGTTCCCGTAGACTCTTAGGCAGTTTATTAAAAACTGAATGTTTATTAAAAACTGGAATGATGACCCACGAAAGACATGCAGACAATTCATGGTTGATGCAGGTGGCTTAGGGCCGTGGTTTGTGACATTTCTTGGGGAGGCCTATTTTTAGCAGTGGACTTGTGAATGCCTATAATGATTAATTAAATTATGATTATGACGTAATATTTATTTTAACTATTTGTGTGAAGTTTTGTACTGAGAGAATTTTTACTCAGTTTAACTCTATTATTTACGCCTTATATGTAAAGCTGAATTATTCGTTTGAATTTTTTTCAAATCACTACGGCTTATGTCTCAAAACTAGGACAAATCCGGGGGAAACCAGATGGCATCTCTAATTCGAGTGCAAACATTTGAACTATCCTAAGATATTGTCAACTCGCTCCGTGTTTATCTAAGTTAACAATACTGTAGACGTGAGAGTACTCCTGTATTCCATTGAAAAGATAAAAATAAAAGGGTTTCTTATTGTAGGCTAAGGATCACAAGAAATCGTGTTTACTTTACGTAGTAAAGTGTAGTTTACATTTTTATGATGTGAAATTAAAATTAAAAAATAGAACAGTTTATCTCATTTTGTAGATAGTACACTAAACTATATACTATCTAATATCAATTACTAGATGAAAGGACTCCTTTCTGGTTAAGATTTCGTCTGGGCAGGTTCACTGGTACTGATAAAAATGGCTATTCCAGTATCTATTGGAAACCACCGCTTTTCGAACAAAAAAAAGCAAGAATTCCTTTTACGCTGCACCATCTGGTGCCTTCTTCCTTTCTTAATTATGTCACACTTTTAAAAAATATGTCTGCCTGGCTTTGCCCAAAGTAAGCCAGATGATGCATTTGTCAAAAGATTTGCTCGTATTTGCCACGGTAGGTAGAGGGGTTGGTGACCACAGAACTGACAACTCTCAACTCACTCTAGAAATTCTGCACAACTGGTCGATGAGATATAAACACCGATGTTTTTATAGAAGAGTAGGTAAACGAACATGCGGCTTACCTGATGATAAGTGACTTTATTCATCACTCAGCAGTTTAAACTGTGCCTTTTGATAAAATATAAATATCTTTGATTCCAGGGTGAAAGAGGCAAGAAAAGCTGCAGCATCTGGTGAAGGACCGCCCGTTCTCTACCTGAACGCAGGTGATACATACACGGGAACAGCCTGGTTTACCATCTACAAATGGAAAATTGCCGCTGAATTTCTCAACGCCCTGCAACCGGACGCCGTTGTAAGTTTTAGACATTTTCATTTTGAATCCATGAAGTGCAAAGTCGTGATGTATTCAACCACTGCCTACTGTTTGTGATGTTTTGTCTATGCTAGAAGGTAATAGCCATTGCTTCTGTATAGTAATTGAGCTGGTTGTTTTTGTTCATCTACTATGTGTAAAATGTGGTTATGAAAATAAATTTTAGGTTTATAACTGTTTTAGTGTTATATCAGTCACTATGATCAAGTTTAATGTGGAAGGATTATTGTATTCAAAATATAAGGTCGACTTGACTTACACGCAGAGCACTAGCGCAAAACAGAAACATTATCCTGTTCTGTATAGCGAATGACGGGAATCGGAGATCCTATTTGCTATTAACAAGGCATTCCATCATAGACCTCATGGGCGACTCCGCATTTAGATCTTAAATTAAGTATAGATGAGGTATTTATGGACTATAGCATCCACTTATAATCATGTAGACTGTGTGTTCTTTGACGCCCTTACCTTCCATTAAAAATAAAACGCAGAAATCTACAAAATAATACCAAAGATTGAGAACTACGAGTATGTATACTTGACCGCTATAAGTAACAATGCGAAAAAAATCGTCTTATCGTTGATTTTGATATACTATATTAAACAAATGTAATATAGGAAGAATTAGAATATGAGGCAGAGACTGTCACAACCATAATTTGACCATAATTTATGTTCATGTTGTCTAGGGCTAAGAACTGAATTTGCAAAATTTTATTCAATAGATTCGAAAAAGCGTATAATTAAAGTAAACGTTGAATTTTGACACTTCATACAGGAGGAAAGACAAAACGCATTTATTTGAAAACTAATACATGTATTATCTATGTCGGATATTCTTAATAACAATATTAGTGTGCAAGCTTAAGTTCAGCTTGTTATCTTGATTACGCAATTAATTATTATCAGTAACAAAACAGCGTACCGCACTATACTTTCAGTGGCACAGTAACAACTCGACAATACGGTAATACGTCCTCCGTCCATAATCTTTACTGCAACGTGATGGTCGTTATTGTAAGGTAACACCAAAATATATTTAGTAGGCAAAGCAACTGCATCGCTGCTTATCCCGATAAATAGAGCAATACAGGTCACCGGCTCTGTTTTGTGTTACTCTATGTCTCGACGTGACAGGGAAGTCTTTCCGCAACACGATCTTCTTTGCTTGTACCAGAAGAATTACCTTAAAGGACAGAATCACGATACTTATTGATGCCCGATTCCTATATTCAAAAAGCGGTCTAGGTGCGACCTGAAAGGTCCACACGACTAACTTCCCAGTGGAAAGAATAAAAAATATCATATGTTTTAATATTTTATACAATTTTTCATTCGGCACAAAAAACGACTTGACCGATTTTGCTCAAAATTTAATGAGGTCTAAGTTACATAATTATGCGTTAAATGAAACTGGTCCCATGTCAATATCACTCTTTGTTCTCGAGATACACGAGGCGAAAACTGAATCCGAACATACATACATACGTACATGTGCACACACGGACATTCTCTTAATACCATACTGTTCGACTCTATAGACCTTGAAACGTGGAGATATGTTAAAATTTCCAATTTGCAAAATCGGACCCATTACAATAACTTCCCACTGGGAAGTAATTAAATGTTTCATTCTCAGTAATGATCCGTTTTATTACTTACAAGGTACATGTAAAAACAATTTATATTAAAAACTATCCATTAAACTACTTGGAATTGCCTAACATGAAAAAACTTTAAACGGTTCATAAATAGTTCAACTGATATTTTATTTTATCAAAGAGGTTTTCTTGCACATCATTTAATACAAAATGGATCGTAAAAGAAAACGAAGCGTTTCTTTTATACAAAAACTTGGCATAAGACTCGTAGAATAACTCAGATGGGATCCCTTACACGGCCGCTGCATTTCTCAGACTTTTCATAAAACCGGTTCAAAATTTCTTTCTTAAAGTTTCTGATAAATGTTCTACTTATCAGTACAATTCCAGTTCTTAGTCAATTAATTTATACAATGTATCACGGTATTCAGTTCCATAGGTTCCAAATCGAGTGGAAAGCTTAGCTTGATATTTATATTACTACTTCGATTATAACATATCTCAAAGAAATAACTCTTACACCATATAATTAATCAAGTGGTAACTTGATTCGCTCATGTACCAGTAAAATAAAAGCGTCTTCCTGTGCAATCAAAATGCAGATGCGATGTCACCCGTGAGGACTAAAATGGAATGCCGCGTTTCCAGTAAAAAGGGTCTCCGGTTCTCTATACACAGCAGCATTTAGCTGCTATATTACGGTGTTATTCTGTGAGAGCGTGGTGCTTCCCTAGTCGAGCCGACCCATTCGTGCTACAACTATACTACTAATATAACTGCAGCATGGCTCTATCACATATAATCCGCATATAATCGTTTCAGGATATGTGATAACGGTTATGTTCTTAGGTTTATCGATATGATTATGACATTTCGATAACATAACGTTATTAGCTATGTTTTGATGTATCGGTCTCATGCCTATCTTCCACCCCACTTTTTTTTCAATACATCACAATCTCCATCACCAACTTTTTTTTCAATACATCACAATATCCTATTTTGATTGCCTAGTAAAGGGGATACTGCCACAGCTGTAACGCTTCGCAGTCAAATATTAATTAATTAACAAAATAATTACACATAAAGTCTAATAGAATCGTTCCATATAATCTCATCATCATCCATAAATTACCGCATTTAGTTTTTTTTACTTATACAAATATGAAGTGGACATCGGAAAGTTGGCATTTCAAGTTAAACATTAAGTTATTATGGAGAACTTATTGTGGCATTTTTGTTGTACAACATAAATTTATGATATTTTGAATTATTAAATACCTCACTTATCAGGCTCGCAAAGTTTACCATCGTACTAATGAACTTTTAGTCAAAGAGTATATTAATCACTACATTTTATTAGTAGTCTTGGAAACTTGAGGGTTTTTGAAAGAAACTTGAGGATTTTTTGTGTTAATATAAATAATAAATTAAATTTTAACTTCGAAACATTAAATAAAAATAATAATTAAATTTATAATATATACAATTAATACTAATTATGTACAATATAAAAAAGAGTAACTATAATATAGAAAAACTAACACTAAAAATTTAAATAGTCAAAAAGTCCTGCTCTCCGTGGTATAGTGCCAAGAACGCTGGCTGCGTTTCCTCGCTGAATAGCTATACTTAGCCTTTGAGCGAGGAAAGAATTAGCCCTCTTATCATCAGCCGCGACGACCAGCCGTGTTCCTTTAGGAACTTCACTGCACGTGGACCCCACAGACCGATAGTCTTTACAGCAAATGGCACAAATATGTAGTCATTTCTCAAAGACTCATATTTGCGCCATTTACTAAATTCAGCTGCCTCTGATGCCGCCCCGGCTCTAAAAAAGGTACCCTTGAGATGAGAGGCCGCCAAAATATCAACGCAAGTAGCATCCCGCATTAGGGCTTTACCTCTCTCTCACGGGACCAAAGTCATACCGTCGGGTCTCTTGCCATCGTCTCTAAATATCCCGCAAGGCTCTAAAACCGAGGGGACATTTATGGAGACAATAGCCCTTCGGATGATTTCGTTCAAAGAACCGTGACGGGAAAACCTACCTGCACTTTTCTTGCATGAAAGTCCGTGAAGCCCAAACTCATCGACGCTGCTACCACGGGGGCATAAGATTATTTGGAATATGTATATTCGAAATAATCTTATGACATAAAACAGTACCCACTCCATGGTACTTACTGAATAAAAAAATGAAAATTATTCACCTATAAAACATCACCACGTATAAACAAGAGGCAAATGTCAGTTTGAATGAATCGAACTAAATGCAGCCTGATTTTCATTGCTGGAAAATTTTCCAGCGTCGACAGCTTTGTGGCGGATCCATTTATGTACATTTAACATTACATACGGCGCATACATAGAGCTTTATGTACCATTGGAAAATCAATACTTGACAACTTGTTGCGTCATGTTCGGTTAAATATGGTGAAGCGAAATTTTATCCATTTACAAATATACTCTATTTTGTACGTGGTAGAGCCATGCTGCAATTATATCAGTAGTATAATTGTAGCACGAATGGGTCGGCTCGACCGGGGAAGGACCATGCTCTCACAGAATACCAGCGTGAAATAGTAGCTTAATGCTGCTGTGTTTCGTATGGTGAGTGTAGAGAACCGGAGACCCTTTTTACTGGAAATGAGGCATTCCATCTTAGTCCTCGCGGGTGACAACGCATCTGCATTTTGATTCCTAATCTAAGATAAATGTAGATATCTATGGACCACAGCAAGCACTTACCATCAGGTGGACTGTGGGCTTGTTTGTCACCCTATCTTATAAAAAAATACTCATGAGGGCTGTAAAAATATGACTTTTTAATTTTATGATAAAGTTTACAAAGCTAAGGCCATAATTTAACGAGAGATAGAAATGCTAATGCAAACAGCACAATTTACAACGACAAACAAAATTAAAACAGACTCATGTAAACATAAGGCTTCTTTTTACTCGTATTTGTATAAGGTTACCATAGCCTCGAAATGGGAATACGGTTGCAGGTGATTAAAATTTTGATTTTTGAAAAAAAAAATCGGTCTTCTGCCGTCCCCTCACCAATATAACTTAACGCATTACCATGTAATTATGCTTTCTTAGTTAATTACATAAACATTTATTTCAACATGACTTTTGCGATTGGTGCGACCCACGCGTCCTGTAGAACTATAAGTACAGCCACTTGTCGAAAACCCAGTCTACTGAAATCGGGGCGTAGTTCGGTCTTGGCTCTTAAAATCAGGTCAAGACCGGATTTATTCGAACAGATGGTAACCCTAGATGTGTATAGTAATAAGTTAAATGTCTTCATGTGCACAATACATTGTACATTATACGTTATTATACATTAATGTACATTAAACGTTTATTACAGTAATAACAGTAATTTATAATCTACGATAATGTTATCAAACGCATGAAGATTTGATGTTTTATAATATGTACGAATACGTAAGTTTATATTTTAATAAAATATTTACTTTTATCATGTAACATTTTACTAACAAAAATATTATACGAGTATTTCCTTTATGTATAACTTGCTTTTTTAACACGAAATGGTTGCTTCTAAGCACACAACATATATCTGCTATATTTGGAAATACTTCATTTATTCCTACTTTCCTTATGTGTTGTCCTTTCGACACTCAAGTGTACTCTTATAATCTTCATTATTGAGAGATATTAATGTGTGGTTTTTTTTAATTTCCTCATAGCAATATAAAGCAATGTAATAAATTATAAAATAGTTTCTGAATTTGAAATTACAGCAAGGGTTATATATTTTGATAATCATTCCTAAAACATTCGTTTCATATTTGTATACCGTACAGTCCATAATGTTTAGACCCATCTAAATATTTTAGTAGTACTCTTAAAAATATGAAACAAGTTTATTGACCCAGCAAAGCAGCAGTAAAAATTTGTTACGTATACTATGCACATTCCTACATTCTACCGTCTTCGTACGCTTCAAAATACCAACCTAAAAATGAAAAAAAAAAATAATGGGTGCGTTTGGCAGAAAAAAGCGCTAGCAAGCGCTTGTAAGCAAAATGGCGATCGTAAGCGGTTAGCGCTGTCAAATCGTAAGTAGCTATTTTCCTCCAGGACACGATGTTAGTTTTAACCGGGGAACCTAACCTAATTTAAATATATGTTTGTAAAGTATTCATATTAAAAACTTACCAATCATGAATTTTTAATAACATGTATATATCTATTCATGTCATTATATTACTTAAAACTAATATTGCACAAAACAACTTATATTTTCTACTTCAAAACAAACAAATTAAATAAGCAAAATGGCGGATTGTGTCAGCGCTACTGAAGTAGCAATCGTGTCCTGGCCGAAAACTATTTTAGCGCTTGTAAGCGCTTGCTAGCGCTTTTTTCTTCCAAACGCACCCAATATTCTCGATCGTGACCAGCCCGAAAACAATCTACGACTAAATAAGCGTCAGTAGGTATTTGCAATTGGTATGATTTGCAATTAGCTTAGCACTCGCAGTAACAAGAGACGCCACGCACCATATAAGCTACTCGCTGTCGCCGTTGTATATACTCCATCTGGCTTATACACTAGATATACTGCCATCTATTGGTGTCTATTAGATTGTTTTAGTATTTTTCTTAATGACCCATGCGACATTCGCAATGGTGCGTGATCATCATCATTATTATCATTCCATCCTTTCAAGGAATACTTCAAAACACGGTCGTTTAAGACCATGTTTTGCGGTATTCCGTGGTGTCCATCGATTTCTTGCAGCAAGGTCTACAGGTATAACTTTTTTCCTAGCACCCAGTACATATTACCTAAATCCTTATTCGTTTTGAATACTACTTTTCATAATAATTTCTTAAATTTACGCGAACACTACACATTGAATAAAACTATTATTTACAGATTTTATCGCGTTTAATTACTTTAATTTGTTTTTACTATCCCGACGTTTCGGATGCTTTACAGCACCCATGGTCACGGAGGGGACTGAGATGTTTGACGTCCCAATGTAATAGTTAATCCAGCTACCTTCGAAACGTCGGGATAGTAAAAACAAATTAAAGTAATTAAACGCGATATAATCCATAAATAATAGTTTTATTCAATACTACTTTTCACTTAAGATTGATGTTTTGGTGATGGGTGCGTAATACGAACCATATTGTTTTATATTGTGATGTATAAATTATTTTATGCATGGCTATGCAGTTGTTTGAGTTTGTATTTTTGTTTGTGTCTGTTGTCTTACATGGTTCTAATTTTACTAAAATTTTAACATTGTGTTTAATTTATAATTGTTCTTATTAACTTCGTAAATTACACGATAGCTTTTACCTTATTTACAACTTAGCTTTCTTACGTAAACTAGACAAAGCTATTTACTAACTAACATCGCTTAAAGACTACGATAAAATATAGATGCTGGTTTTTAATTACATCACGTGATAAATTTTACCTAGACCTTAAATACAGCTAATTCTAAAATCTTTCAATATTTTTTAAAAATCAGTATCTATTTATCGTCAATCAATAAATACTTACTTTAATTTTACTCACATTTGTCTTACATTTTTTTTCAGTCACTTGGAAACGACGAATTCGCAAAAGACTCTACAGAATTGTTACCTTTCTTAAAAAATTTAAAAACAAATATAATAGCTACTAATATTATTTTGAATACTGAAGAAAACCAAGAGTTACAGAAATCAGTTATATTTGATATAAAAGGAACTAAAGTTGGCATGGTCGGTTATCTTACACCAGAAATAAGTATGTTAGATAGCGCTGGCGCTGTTGAATACATAGACGAGGTAATAGCTCTTAAAGAAGAAGTAAATAAGTTAAAAGAGCAAAATGTTTCTATAATAATAGCTTTGGGTCATGCTGACATAGATAAAGTAATAGAGATTGCAACTGAAGTCGATGGTATAGATTTAGTCATCAACGGTCACAAAAACTTTTATTACTGGAACGGAACTAGCATAAACAACCAACTAACTGATACCGAAATAGAAATAAAAATAACCCAAAAATCGGGGAAAATAGTACCGATATTACAGTCATATTCATACAATAAAAACCTAGGCAAGATAATTGCAAAATATGACAACGATGGTGAGATTATTGAATACCAGGCACAACAAATTCCTCTCGACTCATCCATTCCTCAAGATTTAGAAGCCCTTGAAGTAATAAGATCGAATACCGCTGAAATTTATCGAGAGGGCCAAGAAATAGTAGGTTACACAGCGGTAGTTCTTGATGGAGACACATGCAAATTAGAGGAATGTAATTTTGGTAACTTACTTACAGATTCTGTTACGTATTATTACGCTGTTAGATTTCAAGGTGAACGTTGGACTAACGCACCAATTGCCATTATTCATAGTGATGCAATTACTACTTCAATCGCCCCTGAAAATCGCCCGGCAGCTATAACCAGGACCAATTTGTTATCCGCTTTAGAAACTGGAAGCAACTTAGTTACTGTCACCATGAACGGAACAGTATTACTTCAAGTACTAGAGTATTCGGTCGCAAACTACAGCTACACAAATCCTTCAGGCCAATTCCTACAGTATTCTGGAATTCGAGTAACATATGATTTAGCTAAAGAACCGGGTTCCAGAGTAATCAGAGCTTTTGTGCGGTGTTGGTCCTGTTACATTCCTCAATTTTACACTATTGATGATTGGAGAGAGTACACAATATTAATGCCTTCAAGTTTAGCAAATGGAGATGAAGGTTATTCTATGTTAGTGGGACTACCTCGACAAAATCTGGATTATGATGTGGCAACATGCATTGAAGCGTACATCGCTCAACGTAGCCCAGTGTATCCTGAAGTGTCTGGCCGAATTATTTTATTAAACACAGAAGCTGTACCCGACTCTGCAACTGCCTTGAGCTCTACACTCACACTTTTACTTTTCATCATCACCTTTATAATTGGATAAAATGAAATAAATAAAACAGTTGTTTATTATAACAAAAATATTTAATTTCAAATTCATTTTACATACTGTAAATATTACACGGCTTGCTAGATATAGGTTAATTTATTTAAGTATAAATAAATATCTTTATTTATATATAAATAATGATATGTCTGAATTACTATTTACAACTCTCTTTATGCTCATCGTCTTGTTAGAAGCAAATCCCATATTTGACTTTTTTGACACTTACGACACTTACTCCTTAGTGATAAACTCACCTGTCACTGTATATGTAAGTAGTGTGTAATTTTGAAATATTTCTCGTGAAGAATAAGCATCTGTTAGATCGTCTGTAAATTGACAAATTATTGATTTGCCGTTATTTAATTTTTACATTGTCCGTAACGATTAGGCTTGTGACACAAACCTAAGTTGTCAGAAAAAAACATGTGTGCAGTTCACACGCGGTAAAAGTGAAACCTTCAGAAAATTACGAGCAAAATTGCTTTGTAATAGCGTTAAATCCACTAAATTCTATAGGTAAAGTTATTTTATCGACCAAAAATTGGTTGACTATCAAGGTGCTACGTAAAATAGACGCTACGTGGGAGGATTGGTAAACACAATCAATTTAATATAAATCGGTAAGTTATGGGAGGCGTGGTGGCTCAGATGATTAGCGCTCACTGTAAATTTCACAGCGAGCGCTGAGCATCTGAGCTACGCGAGCAACCTGGATTCGATCCCCGCCGGCACCAATTAAATTGTTAATTGCAATTTTAATTATTATATTAGTGCTCGGCGATGAAGAAAAGCATCATAATGAAACCTGTATGTCTGAGAAATAAAAAAAAAATATTCCGAAGACATATGAAGTTCGCCAACAAGCATTGTAGCAGCGTATTGGACACTTCCTTGCCCTAAAAGCCTCTTGGAAATGAGGGGAGGCCTGTGCCCAGCAGTGCGACGTATATAGGCTGTAACTTTAACTTAACTTTAAGTTATGAAAAAAAAGGGTTGGTAAGATAATTTTATTCAAAATTGTTCTTTTTATTTATTTTTAAAATTTGTTAATTTTTAACTGTTTATTTTAACAGTTATAAGTTATATTAATCTAATCGGAAACTATATAATTGTATTCTGTCTCATTCTCTTGCAGGCTTAATCCTATAGATGTATATATTTATCTCTGTACTTACTTACTTGAACTTATTTAATACGCAGAAAGTCACACAGCGAAATCACCATTGATAAAATGCGATTTTATTATAAGTTTTTTTGGTTTCTAGTGTATATATCGCAAGTATATTGTCAAAGCCGTGATATTACAATTTCACTAGTGATATTATAATTGAACGGTAGATTATCAATCGACCTGTAATAGCAACATTTTATAAAACTATAAGAAAGGGTTTTGTGTTATTGCTGAGGTCGTGATGCATCTTTAAGAATGGATTATGGCTAACATATAACATATGGTACTTGAATTTGAAATATCAGCACTTAAGAAGTTTGTTTAAAAAGTAATAGCTTAATTGGTGAATGTCAAAAGGCGAAGTATTTAAGAGGGGTGTGCAAGTACACCCAGTACCATGAACAACTTGAAGAAAGTCTGTAAATTCAAGATTTTATCAAGATTGGTAGTGCTCAAACTTATTGAAGCAAGCAAGACTCAACCTTATGTCTACGTATATAAAGCCTAATTTCTTTAGACATATAGTTAATCGTGTGTGTGCCAGCATGGTCGTAAAACGAATAGGTTGGCTACACTAGGACAGGACCACGCTCTCATAGAATACCAGCGTAAAATAGCAGCTTAACGTTGCTGTGTTTCGTATGTTGAGTGTAGAGAACCGTAAATTATTTTTACTGGTAACGAGTCATTCTATCTTAGTCCCCAGGTCTTTTTTTGAATAAGATAGGGTGTCAAACGAGTACACAGCCCACCTGATGGTAAGTGGTTGATGTGGCCCATAGAGATTTACATCTATCTTCGATTACGAATCTACTAAGATGAAATGCCTCGTTTCAAGTAAAAACGGTCTCCGGTTCTCTACACTCACCATACGAAACACAGCAGCATTTAGCTGCTATTTTTCGATGGTATACTGTGAGAGCGTTATCCTTTCCCGGTCGAGACGACCCATTCGTGCTATAACTATACTACTAATATAGCTGCAGCATGACTCTACCACGTATAAACAACGCATCTACATTTTGATTTTTAATCAAAGATAAATGTAAATGTCTGTGGGGCGAAGCATCCACTTACCATCAGGTGGTCTGTGTGCACGTTTGCCTCACTTTCCTATTCTACAAAAAGCATTTTCTCTGAGAAAGAAGGGAATGTTTGAATGAACCGGATTGACAAAATGTTCGATATTTCTCTTATTGGGAAAAGAATAAAAGCGTGCGCCAGAGATCGAAGATTTGTTATTTCGGGAAAGCGGAAGTGAACTAAGTTATTGATATGAATGAATTGATAACTAAAATAAAATTAGATGCCTTATATGCCTTGAAACAGCTGGAATAGTTTATTTTAGTTATTTATATAGTATAATATCGAGTGGAATCTTGCTACGGGGTAATGCGACTGATATTGAAACTATGATTGTTTTGCTGAAGAGCGCCATAAGAGCAATTTATAACCTAGATCCGAAGGAATCACTTAGAGAATTATTTAAAGTTTGTTTTTACTATGAGTTATACAACATTTAAGATGTGTAGCTTTATTTGGTTTACGGCTTGGATTTTCTTACTTCACGGAAAATTAAACAATAGTGCTAAAGTCAAAATCCAGCTGTTACTGTTTACTAGTTATAATAACTCTTCGGTTTAAATAAAACAGAATAAAATTTGCATTTCTTTTATAGAATACGATTGACAAACTAGCAAACAGTCCACCTGACGGTAAGTGGATGATGTAGCCTATAAAGATTTACGTCTATCCTTGATTAAGAATTAAATTGCAGATGCGTTGTTTGACGAACTTCATATTATCATTATACTGGATGAGTTTTTTTTTCCGTCTGCAAAAAATATGGTGTAACATGTAAACGGAGTATGGCACTGATATTTTACAAAAAATAAGAACAAAAATTTGAATTAAATAAATTAGTTGGTTAAAATCTATCGAAATTCAAATCCTATTATCCACTCTACTTTACGAACGGCAATAAAACCATAAATTTAGTAGGCATCTTTGACCTTGTCACTTCGCAAAGTCACAGGCTCAAGGGTTAAGGGCATAGTGATTATTACAATTTTTTTTCAAACGCTTAATTCAAAATTTTTGTTTTTATTTTTTGTAAAATACCACTGCCATAGGCTTCTACTCTTTTCACATGTTACGCTTTATTTTTTCCAGACGGTAAAGAAGGTATACTTAGTCAAAGGGGGATGCCCACTGTTCATAGACACTTCGGCCATGAGTGCCCACATATAAAAGCATATGGAAATGATAATATGCAATTAAAATAATGAAATGGTTAAGGAATTGGTTTAAAAAAAAGTCGGGATTTTTATGATATAAAGCTTTTTATTTTCACAAATACAGCTTTTTAACGACTACTTTTACCAATTTTATTGCTTTTAATTTCTTTAACTTTTAATTCCCGACGCGTGATTTTTCTTTTGGAGGCCTATGCCAAAAGGCACACCGAACAGAGGGACTTACTTTAACTAGTATTACAATAGGAACTCAAACACAAATATTATGTAACCCCAAAGTTCGGAAATAAATGGCTATATTATTATTATACTATTATTATTAATTCCTGACGTTTCAGGTGCTTTATAGCACCCATGGTCACGGGGTACTGAGGTGACTGCCATCCCAATGTCAGTATTGGGACATGGAGTACCTTCAGCTTTTTATTATTATTTTTATAGTCCAATCTACGCAAATTGAACTTACTCTATCTTTAAGTCTTGCAGTGGTGTGCTTGGGGTTTGTTTTAATTTTATTAATTATAGTGTCCCAAGCAGGTGGCAGTACCCAACCGCCTTCTCTACTGAAATTAGGATGTTTTTTAATTTCAGTAGCCTCACATATCATCCTTGGTAGGAATTAATGTTCTTTAACGAGGATTTGTGGTCTATCAAATGTGATGTATGTCTATCTGGTTGGGGTGACACCCTTGACATACGGTAGTACAGCAGGCACACGCTCAACTGCGGTCGGCTTCACTCGGTCACTGTGACGAAGACATGGGACCCGAAGCTTGATTTTGTGCAGAACCTGCTTGACATGCTGAAGCTCCGCGGCCAGGTGCTTGTTCTCACAGATCCCATATGCTCTCTGTAACAAAGATTTGCTCATGGTAACTAACTGTGAAGGATTATGGTGAGATTCACCGCTTAAATATCAGTTTGTATGGGTCTTTTTTCTATACACAGTGTGACCTATGATGTTGTTAGGATTTTGGATAACAAAAACATCTAGGAAAGCTAAGAAATTATTTGCCTCAGATATAATATCATAATTACTGAATAGAATTTGGCACAGAGAGTGGTAACGATGGATAAAATTCATAGGAACAACATCCTGATTTAATATTTCTTGGGCCATATTCATGAGCCGCTCTAATTTGTTTCTTGGTACTTGCAATAATGCCTATATGCATTCATCACTATCTCCTGTTCTTACTTTTATCAAATATAGGTACAGCAAGTGCAAAGCATCCACTATGTTTACTTGACATTTTGGGCACTTCAGACAGAATTTATTGGCATTGTGCCTTTGATAAGCGTAGATAATAATGTACAGTATATTCGGGCATATTGTAAATATTTTCAAAGTCTATATGATGGTAAATATTATCTTACAATAATGTAGAAAAATCTATAATTTGTGCTACACTAAATGTTTTAATATGGTTATATATTAATTCTAAAAGTAAATACCAAGAGTTACTATTTAAATGGTAGTTACTGATTCTACATTCTGGAGGTACATTGTAATTGTATTCACAAAAATACATACCCGCAATGCTGATGGAACAGTGAGTTGATTGGAA